ACCTACCTTGCCGAGGACTGAGTTGTTTCGGTTCCATCCAGTAGGTAAGGTTTAGATGGTCGGTAAGTACTGTGGTTTCCACCTGCAATAATAAGTGTCTCCTTCTTCTGAAACCCTCCACTACAGCGAGGAACTCCTTTTCTCCTACCGTATAATTCAGTTGAGCTGTGTTGAAAGCACCAGACTCAATAGCTACCGGGTGTTCTTGACCAGCCGTGTTGATCTGCGAAATTATGAACCCCCAGCCGAAGAACGACGCATCTGTCTGTAATATCGTCTTCAATGTAGGGTCAAAATGGGCTAACACCGGCGCAGTACACATCCTAGCCTTCAACTCTTTGAAGGCTGACTCCTGTTCGACTCCCCATACAAATGGTACCTCCTTCCTTGTCAAGTCATTGATAGGTCTAGCAATCTTCGAGAAGTTGGGGACAAAGCGCCTGTAGTAGCTTACAACTCCAATGAATCCCCTTGACTCTCGTAGATTCTTAGGACGTGGGAAGGAAGTGATGGCATCAATGTATTCTGGGTTCACCGATACACCTTTAGAGGATACCACGAAACCCAGAAACACCACCGAATCTCTTTCGAACTCGCACTTACTAGCTTTCACGTACAGGCTCGCCTTCCGCAGTACCTCAAAGACCTTCGCCGTAGTTCCTCGTAATTCCTCCAACGTATTCCCATAAATGAGGATATCGTCAATGTAGACCACGACTCCATTCCCTAGTAGCTCTCTAAACACCTCATTTAGGAAGTGTTGGAAGACCGCGGGGGCGTTTCGCAGCCCATCACGAACAACCAGAGATTCAAACATACCATACTGTGTCCTGAACGCCGTCAGGTGTTCATGTCCCTCTGTCACCCTCAACAATTGGTATGCTCCAATTAGATCTAGTTTGCTGAAATACCTTGCTTTTCCAAGTTCTTCGGTAATTTGACCTATTAGAGGGAGAGGGTAGGCATCTGGTATGGTCGCTTCGTTCAGTTTTCGATAGTCGATGACCATTCGCCACTGTCCTTCGGCTTTCTTCGGTATCATAAACATTGGTGAGCCGTATGGCGAGTTACTTGCCCGAATTCGGCCAGCGGCGATTTCGCGATCTAGTATGTCTCTCAGCGCGCGTCTCTGATCTTCTCCTTGAGCATAGAGGGAGGCGACCTTAAGGTTCGCCCCCTCCTTAAGCTCAAACTTCAAATCGTAGGACCTTGAAGGGGGAAGGGTCTCTCCTCCCTTCTTCGGATTAAAAACGTCAATGTACTGGTGGTATTGTTCAGGAACTACCTGGAACAACTCGTCTTGTTCCTCCGGGCTCAGCTCTTCAAGCTCATCTTCGCCGCGGAGGTCTATCGCGTCCGTCAGAGTCGGCAGCCCTATGGCCGCTAACTTCGCCGCACTTGGTGGGGTTGGGATGGGAAATTTCACCGAGTTGTCTCTTCCATCAAGGACAACCCCTTCCTTCCTCATCCAATCCCACCCTATCACAACATCTGCGTCGCAGAGCGTTGTTACATCGAGACAAACAGATCGCACTTCGGCGTCCTTCGTCAAACTAAATCCGACTTCGACAAACTCGGTGATGGGTCCAGCGACACTCACCGAGCCGTCGAACATGTGAACGGGTACGCTCACCTGATATCGCCTCTTTTCTACACCTATCTTCGCTGCTGCCTTAGGGCTTATATATGAACAAGTAGCTCCAGTGTCCCAGAGCGTAGTTAGCTTTATTCCATTAATGAAAATGTCCGATTTAGGTTGATCTCTGGAAACGGAAGGGATGAGGAGATGATTATCGACATTGCATGAACAAGGGGTACTGAGTGGTGTATTTTTGTATTCACAATCCTCTGGCTCCATCAGCTGTGTTTCTTTTATGGGTTTGGGAATGGTGGCCGAGAGAATATGGCGGACCCGCCGAGCCTCGCCTACTGCGACAGGTCCTCTTCTTTTCCCTGGTCCTCTTCCAAATCTACTTCTCCTCCAACCGCATTCAAGTTCCTCCTCTGTCCGAGAGGTACTGCGTTCCCTCCCGATCCTCCACCACGTTCTCCGAACTTCTCCCCCCATGGAGGCAACAGTCCAACCTTAACCTTAGCCTCCCTTACAGGGCATTCCTTCAGCCAATGTCCTGCTTCACCACACTCGGTACACTTCCCCTCCTTCCTCCTTGTCTCCCTCAGATCGGAGCTCGGCCTAGGCCATCTTCGGCGAACTTCGTCGATGTTTGGCGGTGTACTCTTTACCACCGTCGACATCATAGCCGCCTGGACACCACCCTGCGCCGAAGGTTGCCCCTTTTCCCATTTCTTCTCTTCTTTCTTCTCCGTCCTCTGACTTTCCACCACTGTCGTTGTCCTTATCCCTCCTTCCCTTTTCCTCTCTGCCTCCTTCTCCACTTGTCTCCTCCACAGGCGGTTGTCCAAGGGAATCACAAACTCCAATAGCTCTTTCACAGTCCCAAACGATCTACCGTGTCTTGCAATTTCATCTAGAAGGTGCGATTTTAGTCCTTTCTTGGCTCGGTCAACTAGGTTTCCATCATCAGACCACTTAAGAATCGCAACATGTCGCTGGAAGGCGGAGAAGTAGTCCGAAGCAGACCCGGTTTGCTTGAGGTCGTTAAGTTGTCGGGCCGCAGTTCCTTCTTCGTCTGGATCACCAAAGTTAGTCTTGAGGTACTTAACGAACTGATCGTGTGTCGTGAGGTACTCAGGAAGAGGTCTTTTGGATAGATCGGGCTGCACTGCAAGAAGAGGTGTTTCGCGTAGATGAGAGATCATGAAAAAGACTTTCTTAGTGTCGTCGGGGAAAAGATGAGAGTTCAATTCGAAATGTACGTCGCACTCAGATAGAAAGGCGGTTAACTTGTTCCGATCTCCTCTCCAGAGGTCTGGGTTAGGTAGCTTTATCCCCTTCCGTTGTTCGCCCACTACGCTTGGGGTCGCCGAAGTTTGCCGTCCCATGGCGTACCTCACTCCTTCTGATATCCCTTCTGCAATCCCGCCCACTGTATCCCTTTCTCTTCTCTGTTCCCATTCCTCCCTACGCCTTCTCTCCTCCATCATGTCTTTGTTCATATTCGCCACCATCTGCATCAAGGCCAACACCACCCCTTGTGTTCCTTCTTCTCCCAAGTTCGCCGTACTTCCAGTGTTTTCTCTTGGGCGTGGGGTTTGGTCTGATCCAAGTGGGGATCCCGCAGGTGGGAGAGCATTAGACGGAGGAGAAGGAGGGTTAGAAGGCACCGGTGGAACGAACTCATCTCCTTGAATTGATCCCCCCACACTATCCTCCACTCCAAGGTCCTGCCCCATTGCTCTGCTAAGCTCCTCCAATGCTCTCCTCTCGTTCTCCTCCATCCTGTCTCCATCCCTACTCATCCCTCGTGTGATTCTTCTTTCTGGTTCCATATTATCTTTGTACTTCTCCGAGGTTCGCACGGGTCGTCGGTAAGAGCGATCCTTGATACTGTCACGGCCGTCGAACAACTATTTCTTAATAGACCGACGGTCGACGAACCTCGGCTAACTTCACGCTCTGAGTCGATGTCTCACCCAACCAGGAGGGCGCAGACGTCGAAAGGGGTGTAACTACGGCGTACTTCGGCGTAGTTACTCTAACTAGGGTTTTGTTCTACTGATGGCGATGTATCTTGATTTATAGCTATCTCTATCTGTCTTTCACTACTGACAACAATCAAGGATCGCTGAAGAACTTCAGCGATCTTCTCAGCTAATATTATCTACTCCTCCTAGACGTTCATCCAACCCTCTCGCGCTTTGACGTACTTCAACGCACTTCGTCCAACTTCCCCGAGCCCTCGGCCATCCTCTTCCTCCTTCGACTAACTCCGCCTAACATCGCCGCACTTCTGCTCCCATTGTCCCTACCTAGCCTAACTCCGTCTAACTTCGCCGTACTTCTGCTCCCATTGTCCCTACCTAGCCTAACTCCGTCTAACTTCGCCGTACTTGGTCTCAGAAGTCCTGAGTTACGTGTAGAGTAAAGAGGTTAAGGCGTGATGGGGGTTTTGATGGTCAAAGGAGGGTCATTGTTGGTGGAATAATCGAGGTGTCACGACGTAGTTCGTGACAGAGAAGAAACGACGATTGTGACACTCAGCTACTCCATTCTGCTGAGAAGTGTAAGCAGCCATGGTTTGGTGCTCTACCCCGAGCGAGGCAAGATAGCTTTCAGACTCCTTGCTTGTGAATTCTCCTCCATTGTCCAAACAAAGACATTTGAGTTTCCGCTCACTAACTAGTTCAACTCGAGCAAGCCACTCTTTGAATCGACCGAATGCATCTGACTTTTGAGCGAGGAAGAACGACCAGGTATATCTCGAATGATCATCTACCAGCACCATCATGTACTGTGCTCCTCCATCCGAACAAACTCCCATTGGTCCGCAGAGGTCGGTGTGAACGAGGTCTAGGACGGCTTCAGCTCGTGATTCACTTGGTGAAAAAGAGGGGTGCACAATCTTTTCCATGACACAACCTTCACACACATCTTTAGAAGGTGTCGAGTCAGCGAGTGAGGTTCCGTTGCTCATTCAACCAAAGAGCGATTTCATGGCACTAGAGGATAAATGACCAAGGCGTCGGTGCCAGATGTCCCAGGTCGTTCAAGTATCACTGGCTTTGATGTTGTTGGTTGCCAATGCAATAGTAGTGGGTTCAAATGAGGTGATTTAAAACCGAGCCATGTCCTTCAGATTGGCCGATTGATCAGACCATTGTCCAGCTTCCACCACATACACCTTATCCACCTTGTGTGCTTGAAGTACCTCAAGCTCACCTTTCAAGACAGAACACTTTCCACCACCAAACACCACTGTTGCTCCGAGCGAGTCAAGTTGAGATACCGAGATGAGGTTGAATCCCAAGTCAGGTACATAAAGAACTCAACTAAGTGATACTTTGTGAGCGAGATGGTTTGTAAGATTGACCAAGCCGCACGAGCTTGCTGTAAGAGTTCTCCCTCCAGCAGTTGTGATTCAAGCGATCGACTCGGTCAATTTGAGATCTTTCATCCAGTTGATATCCCCAATCATGTGTTCACTTGCCCCAGAGTCAAGAATCCATTGACTCGAATGAGCGGCCAGCGAGATCGAGTTGATGTTGGTGGTGAGGAGGAGAGGTTCGATATTGTTGCATTCAAACGAGGTGATTGCTTGCGAGGCAATGGCAGCTGTCTCAGTCTCGGTCTTTACAGGAGCAGCAACCTTGTTCGATCAACCCTTGTCTTTCTTTCCCTTCCATTTCTTGGTTCTACCTCGCTCATTCGAGGATGCAGGAACTGAGCAGTCTACTACCCAATGATCAACCAATCCACATCGAGCACATGGATGTTCCTTACTTGGTCCCTTCCCTGCCTTCTTCAATCCAGCATAGAACACCATGAGTGTCACAAAGCGTGTGACAAGTCGGGCCAATGTCGGGGAAGGGTATTTGACCAGCGATCGGCGGTAGGGTTAAACGCCCATTAATAGGCCTTTTTGTCACAGTGGTTAACAACACTGTCACGTTGGGTACTGTTATATCGTGCATATGCTGGTCAGTATGTCTCGTGACAATGAGCCAGTCTTCGTCTGAGCAAGCAGCTGGGGTTTGTCGGCAAGAAAGTGAGGAAGCTTGAGCTGCTAGAGCTTTGTCATTTGTTTGGTTCCTCTGACCTGCATTCACTTGAAGGATTTCAATCTTGATGTTTTCCACAGATGGTGTATCATCTTCCTTCCAGATGCCGTCAATGAACAAACTGAAGCGATCAGGAAGACCATTGAGGAGAACATTGACACAGAGTTGATCGAGACCGTACAAAAGAACTTTGAGATCACAATATTGAGCAAACACTTTGTTCACCCATTCTTCAACATTGTCACGCGGTGCCGCGTGACATCATCTTTTCCCATAAATGACGTTCCTTTGGACATCAGTTTGCCATCAACGATCCAGTTCTCATGAACTTCACCACCCACGAAGGTATTAGGAGGCTAACTTCGTCGAGGACGAAGTTAGTCATGTAGGAAGTTAGGGAGATACGAAGTTAGGGAGATACGAGGTTAGGGAGGTATGAAGTTAGGGAGGGACGATCTTCGTCGGGGATGAAGTTTGTGAGGTACAGAGCTCGGGATTTCTGTCACAATCGTCGTTTCTTCTCCTCTACTGACCGACGGTCGACAAACCTCGGCTAACTACGTCGTAGTGGGGCGTCGGTGTCTCACTAGGACAGGGTACTCGTCGGGGGAACTACGGCTAACTTCGCCGTAGTAATACGTTGAGTGGTAAATGATAAGATGATCGTTGATGAACTGCGGCTAACTTCGCCGTGGTACGTTGAACTGCTCGATGGTAGCTCTCCTTAACTCGAAGGTTGTAACTACTGAATATATCGCTCGCTACTGACAACAATCAAGGATCGCTGAAGAAGTTCAGCGATCTGTAAACTATCTATACTACTCCTCTCTCCTCATAGAACGTCCCTCAACTCCTGCACTGCCTCACGCTCAGTCCTCTTCGTTCAACTTTGCCGTACCTCACCATATCCCCAATGTCCTACTCCGCTCACTTCGACTAACTTCACCTATTCTGCTCTCCCTCGGTTCCCTTCCCCTAACTTCGCCGTAGTTGGTCTCAGTGGATCGAGTGGAGGTTGGTGATGGTGAAAGGAAGGTCGGTGATGGTGGTTGTCAGGGATGTTACGACGTAGTTCGTGACAACTTCGGGTTGAACGAAGTTCTGCGTTGAAGAAGTTGGGGAAGGACGAAGTACTTAAGGGCTGAAGTTCCCAGAGATCTTTGACAATCTCTGGTTGTTGTCTTAGTGATAGAATTTAGTAAAGTACAAAGTTATTACACCCAGAAGTTATTGTCACCTATTTCATATTTCGAACAACGAGGTAGTTGAAGGTCGAAGCCCACAAAGTTATTGGCCGTCGGTCCTAGGAAGTTAACAAAGAAACAGCACCGTGACAGTACCAGAGATCGTCCTTACCGACTCTCCAGTAACTTGTGGGAAGATATATGTGGACTAGAGGAAAAGAGAGAGAGAGAAGAACGGCTGAAGCAATGTCGAGGAACAAACAGGGAGATAACCAAGTGTCACGCCTGCGGGTAGACTGTGGTTGCAAAGTACTGCCTTGGGTACTGAAGGGTTTTAGTCTCTGGCTCGTAGAGCTTGATGACTGCCTTAGGTACTGAGGGTACTGAGGTGTTGGGTTAGAACCAACTAGGTGACTTTCAAAGATGAAGTTCAACTTCAAGATGAAGATACATTGCTGAAGAAAGAGGGGGGAGATGTGCTCCTTTTGTACCCTTCAAAACTAAAGTAGGTGTACTAAATAAAAAGCGTGTGAGAGATTTTCTAGCCAATCACATAAATGCCTCAAAGTGAGTGCACCGCGGGAAACTGATTCCAGCCAATCACATAAATGCCTCACTGCTAAACTGCTGAACCTTCCAGGCTTCAGCCAATCACGTAAATGCCTCACTGCTGAACTGCTAAATACCATGACTCATATTTTCCTTCAATCCTTATCACAGTTCCTAGCATGAGTCATATTTCCTTATCACTAACTAGAGACAGGTCGCCCGCTGCGCGGGCTCCCGCCCCTCGTGCTATATCCCATGAGATTCACATTTTACCTCCAAAAAAGGAAAAACTCTTGAAATTAAAGAAGAAGCTGACGAAAGACAACACTTTGAGTCACTGTATCCTCCATGTTGCCCACTTTGCGGGCTCCCGCCACTCAATGTCAGCTGTTTCAGCGCCACAAATCAGATGCATAGAGTTGAGAACCAAGTACCATATTGTTAGATCAAAGGAGAAGCCGGTGAAACACAACGTTCTGAGTCACTGTATCTTCCTTGCCATAATACACCCGACCATCCTCCCTCTGCTTGAACCTCGAGACCGCGGTGTATAAGTGTCCATGAGAAAACGCCGCGTTGAAAATGTCCACCCCCCCCAATGCAGAGTCAACCCTTGGCAGGAGTTGAACGTGGTGGCATAGGCAGGAGCGAGAGGAAACTGTTTCCGCTGGAGGGTGAACCCCTTCCTTGGCAAGGGGTCTTCAAAGGTGATGCGAGGGCTAAGGAGCGTGTGAGGCTGAAGCATCCCAACACCATTGACAGCACAAATGAGCTGGCAGGTCACTGTCTGACAACCCACTGCCGTCACCTTGAGGCACGTGTTCTTCACCAAACTTCTTTCCTAGGAGAAGTTGCAGAGCAGGCGGACGGCGGTGTTCACTTTGATGGAGAGCACATGTGGTGGCACTCCAGGAGCGGTCTGAGCATGAAGCAAATCCTGCTGTGTATGTGACTGAAGAGCATGCCCGTCCTCAGGATCAAGAGCTTCCACTTGTTCGATGGTGTTGTGGGAGTAGCTGACACACTCTTCACCGTCAATGGTTGAAATGATGTTGGGAGCTGTAGAGGTTGCACTGGCGGTTGGTTGCACAAAGGATGGAACGGTGCAGGCACACCATGGCATTGGATCAATAATCATGAGGGAAGACAACATCGGTAAGGTCCTCCCCAGTGAGGGTGGTGGGAATCATGGACAGTTCAGCCACATCGTCTTGCAATGGGGTGGTCCCGATGCCCACCATGTCAACCATGTTGGCAAGCTCGATGTCGTCCCCATATGTGATGGGCAGGTTATTAACACAGGCAAGCACAGCCTTATTGGCCATGGGAGGTTAAGCCCCACAAAATCAGATGCATAGTGTCAAAAACAAAGTACCAATTTGTGGAAATTGAAGGAGAAGCTGTCACAATTGTCAATTCTTCTTCTCTACTGACCGACGGTTGACAAACCTTGGCTAACTACGTTGTACTGGGGCGTTAATGTCTCACTGAGACAGGGTACTTGTTGGGGAACTATGGCTAACTACGCCGTAGTAGTGCGTCGAGTGGAAAACAATAAGATGATCCTCAATGAACTGCGGCTCAGTTTGCCGTGGTGCGTCCAACTGTTGGGTACTAGCTCTCCCTAACTCAATGGTTGTAGCTACTGAATATATATCTCGCTACTGATAACCATTCAGCAATCTGTAAACTATCTATACTTCTCTTCTCTCCTCATAGAACATCCCTCAACTTGTGCACAGCCTCACGCCCAGTCCTCTTCAATCAAGTTCACCACACCTTGCCGTACCCCCAATGTTGTAATGATCCTGCTTGTGAGGATCACCACAAATAAATAAATGTAACCTACCCGTAGGGCTGGATACTGTCGGAACTCTGTGATGTGGATAATACTAGTCAACAATGGATCAAAGGTCAGTAATGGTCAGTAAAGAGTGTATCAAGGAAACTAAAGAGGGTCTGAGAGAGGATGGAGGAAAAAGGAGGAGAAGAAGGAGGGAGAAGAAGAAGTGAGAGAAAAGACAATGAAGAAAGAGGATGGGAGAAGAAAGACAATGAAGAAAGAGGATGGGAGAAGAAAGACAATGAAGAAAGAGGATGGGAGAAGAAAGACAATGAAGGAAGAGATCCCCCTCAGACCCAGCTTATATACATGATTGGGGTTCCGTAGTACGGACCAGCTACGCCATATTTTACGGTACGGGGATCATTACGGTTTAGGAGTCCTCTAAGAAGAAGGACAACTTGTCTACAGAAAGAGAATAGGAGGAATAGGATTCTTGCTAGGGAGGAACTACAATAAGTATCAGATGGGTGCGAAGGAGAAGGGAGAGGAAGGGAACTATGGACTACTCCTCATGTAGGGGACAGCCAGGTTCACTACATCACCCCCGGCGGCGAGCAAGCCTGGTCCCCAGGCTTGGAGTGTTAACCTTCTGAGGACTTTCAGATTGGGACTGCCAATATTTGGCAACAGCCAGTGGAGCACCTTCAAGATCATCAGCTGGCTCCCAAGTATCATCATGACTAGCATACCCTTTCCAGTGGACCAGATACTGCCTTTGCTTGTGAGGTCCATCTCTGTGGTCAAGTATGATATCTACTTCATAAGTTGGAGCACTCTCAGCTGTTCCAGGGTCTATAGGTGGAGGTGGTGGTTGTGTGCGTGAGGGGAATGGGTTGGCGCGAAATTGTCGAAGATATTGACTGTTGATGACCGGGTGTGCTTTGATATGAGGAGGTAAATCAATCTTGTACGAGGTTGGATTGACAACCTTGAGTACGTCAAATGGTCCAACATATTTTGGTTTAAGCTTCTTTGATCCTGAACCCTTGATGAATGGTGGGCTCAGGTATGTTGTTGAGACCATTACCTTGTCACCTACCTTAAAAAGCCTTTCCTTCCTTCCAATGTTGTATTGTCGAGCTTGTTCGTGCTGAGCCAAGACAAGCGCATCCTGTGCTTGTTGTTGTAGGCTCTTGAGGTTATCGAGAAATTCTTCTGTTGCAGGTACGTCACTTCGTGAAAGTGTGAGACAATCTAGAGGTGTAAGGGGTTTGTAACCAAGGTCCAGTTCAAACGGAGAGAGGCCAGTGGACTGATAAAGTGTGGCGGAATTGTAAGCAAACTCCAAACCTGGGAGATGATCAGTCCAGTTGTCCTGTCGGTAGTTAACATAATGGCGGAGCATTTCCTTGACTGTTCGCACCATACGTTCTGATTGTCCATCTGTTTGGGGGTGGTAAGGAGTTGACATGGCAAGCTTTGTTCCAAATCTCTGAAATAATGCCTTCCAGAAAAGGGATGTGAACTTGGTGTCTCGGTCTGAGATGATGACACGAGGCATACCATGAAGGGGAATGATGTGGTTGAAGATGTGCTGGGCAGTATCGGTTGCTTTGTCAGTTGTATGACAAGGGATGAAGTGAGATCGTTTTGTGAGTTTGTCGGTTACTATCAGTATCATATCATTCTTGTCATTTCTGGATGCTGGTAATGGACCTGCAAAGTCCATGGCAATTGTATGCCATCTCTGTGGTGGAATAGGCATGGGTTGAAGAAGACCTGAGGGTCCTTCAGCAGATGCTTTGTTCCGTTGACATGATTCACAGGAGGTCACATATTGCCGCACATCCTTGTGCATTCCAGGCCAGAAGAACCGTCGTGAGATGAGTGATAATGTCTTATGAACACCAAGGTGACCAGCACTTATGGCATCATGGTTGTCGTGAAGGATGTTGAGTCGTAAGTGGTCTGCAGATGGGATGCAGAGTCGTTCAGTTCCGGTGAGAGGGTCCCTGTAAGCCAAGAGTCCGTCTTTGTCAAGGGTGAATCGTGCGTTGAGCGCAGTTGGGTTATCAGATTGCAGGTTCTTGATGATGTTGTGGAGCCGAGTGTCATGTTTGTATCCGTTCTTGACTTGAGTGAGGAATGTTGTAGAGAAAATGGCTTGTGAAGTGAAGAGAGGTGTGTCAATGGTAGGATCCGAATTCATTTCTACATCTTCCATGGCTGAATTGACAGTGGGTAGAGGAGCTCTCGAGAGACAGTCAACATTTGAATGGAGCCTGCCTGCCCTATGGCGAATAGTCATCTGGTTGCGATAGGGTTGCAGTTCCATGGACCATCTTAGAAGTCGTCTATTATTCCCTTTGAAGTCAAATAACCACTGAAGTGCAGAATGATCAGTGATCAGAGTAAATTTTACACCATCAAGGTAGGGTTGGAGTTTGGTGACAGCCCAGACTATACCTAAACATTCCAGTTCACTAGCTGTATAATTTTTTTCTGCAGGTGTAAGTGATCTGCTGAGATAGACAATAGGGTGTTCTCTATGTTCATCATCAAGCTGGGCCAGTACAGCACCTAGACCAATAGCCGAGGCATCTGTGTAAACAATGAAAGGTTTAGTGTAGTTAGGGTGGGCAAGGATGGGGGTGGTGGTGAGGCAATTACGCAGCTCCTCAAATGCCTTTTGGCATTCAGGCGTCCAAATATATTTGGTGTTCTTTGTGAGGAGAGCATGGAGAGGGGAGGCAATAGCGGAGAAGTTGGAGACAAACCGACGATAATAGGTACACATACCTAAATATCGTTGGATGTCACGAAGTGACAAGACAGTTTGATAGTGATAGTAATAGGATGAGTTGGGTATTTAACCAGCAACCGGCGGTATGCAGTAACCGCCGGTTAATAGGCCTTTTAGTGCAGTGGTTTAGACCACTGTCTCTGAAGGGCACTGTTATATCGTCCCAATGCTGGTTAGTTGGTCTCGTGACAGATTAACCGGCGGTTACGGGTAGGATCCTGGGTTCGACTCCCAGGGTGGGCTGGGTCGTGCTCAGTCCCTACTTGGAAAACCTCCCTCTCGGAGAAAGTTTTCGGCCTATCGTGCCCATCCCTGTTGGGGCCCCAGATGGGGCTGAAAGGGAAGGCATAATGTCACGAAGTGACAAGACAGTTTGATAGTGATAGTAATAGGATGGTTTGGGTATTTAACCAGCAACCGGCGGTATGCAGTAACCGCCGGTTAATAGGCCTTTTAGCGCAGTGGTTTAGACCACTGTCTCTGAAGGGCACTGTTATATCGTCCCAATGCTGGTTAGTTGGTCTCGTGACATTGGAGCTGTTTGATTGTGGTGGGGGGTTCCATTTCCTTAATTGCTGGTACTGATTTTTCCAATGTTCCAATTCCGACATTACTGATGGAGTGTCCAAGAGCTTCTATTTCCTGGTAAGCCAGCCGAGATTTTGAGGGACTAAGGGTGATCCCTGATTTTGTAATGAGTTTGAGGATTGTGTCAATGTCGTGAAGATGAGTGTCAAAGTCATTGCTGAAGATAATGATGTCGTCAATGTAGACCAAAGCAGTTTGCCATTTGTAGCGGCCAAGTACTTTGTCCATGAAGCGTTGGAATACTGGGGGACCATTTCGCAGTCCAAAAGGCATACGATTCCATTGGTGAAGCCCTCGATGTGTTCTGAAAGCAGACTTCGGTTTGTCTTCTTCAGCAATAGGTATTTGGTGGAAACCTTTGTTGGCATCAAAAGTACTGAACCATTGCTTTCCTGAAAAATGAGTAAGGATGTCATCAATACGAGGAAGTGGATATTGATCAGCTTTGGTCACATCATTGACTTTTCGAAAGTCAATGCAAAACCGATCCTTCCCTTTCTGTCTCACCAGTATTGCAGGCGAAGCCCATGGTGAGTCAGATTCTTCAATGACACCTTGTTCAAGGAGTTCAGCAATAGTTTCGTCAATTACTTGTCTTCCAGCAGGAGAGGCATGGTAGGGGGCTTGAGAGATGGGAGAGGCATCTCCAGTGTCAATTGTCATCTCTGCCAGAGTTGTTGATCCTAGCTGCCGTGCTCCATAGCCAAAAGCCATGTAGTTGTTTTTCAGTACCTGGACAAGTTGTTGTTGTTGAGTGTTGGAGAGGGAGGGGTTGATTGATAAGTCGTCGAGGGGGAAGTTGTTTTGGTGAGTTTTGTTATCAAAGTGTGCCGTAATGTCATGAGTGTCATGATGGGTTGAGTGAGATATTGGAAGAGTTGCGGGAATAGCCGGGAAGGATTGTCCAATCTTTGTACCAGCTTTGAGAGTAATAGGTTTGTCGCCAAGGTGAACGATATGGGCAAAATGGTTGGAAGCTTTTGAATTTCCAACAGATCTTCCAACATGTAAGTAAGATCCCAGTGATTTAGGATTTACCACATAATATGGTGTTGAAGGCAAATCAGTGATAATGATTCCAACCCTATGTTGATAACCTGGCTGAAAAGTATAAGTCTCCTTGAGTCGAATAGTCTTATCAGGAGACTTGCCTTCAATCAATTGACGGTCTGGCTGTCGACATGTGGTGGGTATGTGTCACAAAGCGTGTGACAAGTCGAGCGAAAGTCGGGGAAGGGTATTTAACCAGCGATCGGCGGTAGGGTTAACCGCCGATTAATAGGCCTTTTCGTCGCAGTGGTTAAGATCACTGTTCCGTTGGGCACTGTTATATCGTGCATATGCTGGTCAGTATGTCTCGTGACAGATTAATCGGCGGTTACGGGTAGGATCCTGGGTTCGACTCCCCGGACGGCGCCGGGGGTAACCCAGGCCCTACTTGGAAAACCTCCCTCTCGGAGTAAGTTTTCGGTCTATCGTACCCTTCCCAAGTGTGGGGGCCCAAGCGGGGTCCCCTTGTCGGGGCCCCAACGCGGGGGCCCAAGAGGGTGCATAATGTCACAAAGCGTGTGACAAGTCGAGCGAAAGTCGGGGAAGGGTATTTAACCAGCGATCGGCGGTAGGGTTAACCGCCGATTAATAGGCCTTTTCGTCGCAGTGGTTAAGATCACTGTTCTGTTGGGCACTGTTATATCGTGCATATGCTGGTCAGTATGTCTCGTGACAGTATGGTCCCAGGGATTGTTTTGAAAGTGAGTGTGTTGTTGGCAAGGTCGATAACAGTGCCCATGGGTGATAGAATGTCATTCCCTAAGATTATTTTTGTCAGTAAGTCAGGCACCAAGAAGAATGCTACTGGGACAATGATATGATCTTGCTCTGTTGAAATGAAGTTGAGATCAATTTCAATCCATGCAACAGCATTACTCCTGCCTAAGCCTTGCAGTTCGAACTTGTCAAGAGGGTTAGTCTTCACATTGGGTAAGTACTGTTTAGCATAGTTAACATCCATCAGTGATATTGATGAGCCAGAATCAATGCAGACTCTGTGTAGAGGTACATTTGCTGCATCTGACTTCAACTTTGCAAGAGAAAAGACTGGTGTCTTATCTTTGTGAGCATCTTGCAATGTCAATTCCTGCAGGTCTGGCATTCTGTCAATCTGGTCCTTAGCCTTGATGTGGATGTGGCGGTAGGACTGATTGTAAGCATTCGATTGAACAGAATTTACTGATGGTGTCTCACCTTCTACTGGAGTTGAAGTATTGGTGGTTGGGCGAGAGTTGTTTCGAGGTTGCCATTTGTTACCATTATTGTTGGGAATGGAGTTGGGAAAGGTTTGTCGAGGTGGAAAACGATTAGAGTTTGGGTTAGGAGTGGGTGGTGGGGGAGTAGAGATTGTTGGGCGGAGGGGTGTCTGCAGTGGATTACTTTGGGGAGCTTTGTTTGGGCAGTCTCGCCTCCAGTGATATCCACCACAGACACATGGAGTGCGAGGAATAGATGTGGTTTGATTGCTGTTGTAAGCTCGAGGTAGTCCAGAAGTTGAGTTTGTTGTTGTATTTTGTGTAGTGTTGAAGCGACCTGTAGATATGTTAGCATTATTCAATGTGGAAGAGGAACGATACTGTGATTGATTACCTCGGCGCAAGCCTGGTTCCAAGTCCATCAGATGTCTCCTAAAGTCCTCCAAAGTCATTAAAGGTGTAATGCCAGCCTTGATGAGTGGGTGCATACTGACAGGAATACCTGTGAGAAGGTCATCAATCAAGTCAGCATCTAGGGTGGTTGGAGGGTACACATAGCGCTGGAGATTAGTTTTGTCCTGGAAATAGTCAGTAAACGTCTCATTCACACGGAGGGTGCGATAAAGACATTGTCTGCGAAGGGTCAGCTTATGATTAGGGAGATAGAAAGCATTACGAAGAGAGGTTTTCCAAGCATCCCAAGTGTTCAAAGCAGCACGGCGGATTGAACCTAGCTGTGTGAACCAAGTTGAAGCTTTGCCAACCAGGATCAATGGAAGTTGTTGAAGAAGAATCTTATCCTGAACACCAGAGTATTCAAAAATTGCAGATACTTTCTCGATCCATTGATCCACATCCTCATTATCTCTACCACCAAACTTTGGTAAGTCTGAGGCCTTGAGTCTGAGAGAGGAATTATGGTCATCAGTCCCAAAAGGAGCAGAAGCACTGCGGCGCTGAAGAGCAGCACGGAGTTCAGTTACTTCTTGTTGTGCAGCCTCCTGATCTTGCTGAGTGGTGGCAAGTACATCCTGAAGATGTGCTTGAAGCTCTTGTTCCCTAGTACGCATGGAATGTTGAGCTTCCTGAAGTTTGATGTTGGTGTCTTGAAGTTGTTGTTGGAGTTGAAGTACCTGTTGGGTCAGTGTAGCGATACTTTCCTGTTGTCCAATCTGATCTTCATCAGTTGGGGCAGGAGGATTTTCTTGAGGTGGTGGCGGGGTTGGTGTGGGGGAAGTATCTGCAGCAGGGGGAGCAGATGAAGATCTATGTCGAGATGGTGTTGGGGTGAGAGGTGTAGTTGCACCTATGTTGAAGGGGATTGCAGGAGCATTCCCAAGGCGGGTGGTAAGTCGAGTTGCAGGCCGGATAGAAGTCATCTTGATGTTTTTGGTGCTTATTTGTGTTTCTGTAAGTCGTAAGTCGCAAGTTGTAAGGAGCCTTGAGGTAGTTTTGAAGTAGTTATTGAAGTCTTGAGAGCTAGAGGTGTCAGTAGTAGAGAGCAGCAGGCAGTGGTAGTACCGGTAGGAGTACTAATAGGAGGAGGAGGAGGAGGAGAGGTGCACAGGGGCACAGAAGGACCTATAGTCCAGCTTCTGCAGAAGCTCTTCCCAGATATCCCAATGGAGTCTGAGGTGAGAACTCACCTAGTTGCACGGAACTGATATGGGCGAGTGGTTGGCCAACCTAGAGGAGGAGTCAGAGTAGTAGTTGAGCAGTGAGGCAGTCAGAGTAGTAGTTGAAATCTAGAAGTTAGCTTTACAGGTGATGAACCTGTACTGTATTTTAATCAAGAAAAAGGAAAGAAAATGAACTCAGCTTGCTATTTTTTATCTTATTAGAATCTCTTTTTTTTTTTTTTTTTTTTTCTTTTTCTATTTTTGGGGTCGTTATATCTGGCCAGATAGTAGTCGTTAAGTCGTTAGAAAATTCTTGTTGAAAGGTTGTTGGTAATCGTTGGTGTTACTACTAACTGATGGATGTCAGTCAAGAGTTGTTGAAGGTTGTTTTGAAGAAGGTATAGTCAATAGAGTATAGGTTGAGGAGTAGTAGTGATGATATCTGAAGATGGAATGATGGTGAGGAAGGATGAAGTGATGATGAGCAAGTATTGAATGATGGTGAAGGAAGGTCAAGTGATGATGAAGGAGGACAGAGTGGTGATGAGGGAAGATGAAGTGATGATGAGTAAAGGGGTTTCAGTGACTTACTCAAGTACTAATCCAATAAACCAATGACCAAGGTTGAGCTAGCACTAAACCACAAGACAGAAATATCCGGGTGAGCGCCCCAGTTGTAATGATCCTGCTTGTGAGGATCACCACAAATAAATAAATGTAACCTACCCGTAGGGCTGGATACTGTCGGAACTCTGTGATGTGGATAATACTAGTCAACAATGGATCAAAGGTCAGTAATGGTCAGTAAAGAGTGTATCAAGGAAACTAAAGAGGGTCTGAGAGAGGATGGAGGAAAAAGGAGGAGAAGAAGGAGGGAGAAGAAGAAGTGAGAGAAAAGACAATGAAGAAAGAGGATGGGAGAAGAAAGACAATGAAGGAAAAGATCCCCCTCAGACCCAGCTTATATACATGATTGGGGTTTCGTAGTACGGACCAGCTACGCCATATTTTACGGTACGGGGATCATTACGGTTTAGGAGTCCTCTAGGAAGAAGGACAACTTGTCTACAGAAAGAGAATAGGAGGAATAGGATTCTTGCTAGGGAGGAACTACAATAAGTATCAGATGGGTGAGAAGGAGAAGGGAGAGGAAGGGAACTATGGACTACTCCTCATGTAGGGGACAGCCAGGTTCACTACAAATGTCCTACTCCGCTCACTTTGGTACACTTCATCTTTTTTCCTCCTCTCTACCCTGTATGCCTTGATCTCCTTCTTCCAACTTCTCTGTAGTTCTCCCCCAGTCGGGGTCGTTGTGATCAATACTCCCTCGGTTCTTGTAACTTTGTCGTAGTTGGTCTCAGTGGTTTGGGGTTGTGGTGGTTGATGATGGACAGGGATTCGGTGATGGTGAAAGCGACAGAATCGAGTGTTCTGTCTACCTGTTGTTCTCTCAGCACTAATTGAGAGTAATAAGGAGACAACAGGAAGAATCTAAGTACTTATGATAAGTTCAGCGGCGCTGACGGCATTGAGGAGAGGACACATGGGCATATCACCTATCTCTGTCGGAAAGGAGGGTCAATGATGGTGGTTGCATAAATTTGTAACTTTGAGCAATGCATGCAGATCCATGATGAGTGATGGCTGTTGCATGCATGAATTTTCAACTTGGAGACTCGCCCAAGCTATGGCACAGTGTGGTTGTGTTGTGTCACTACAGGGAGGCAAAAGTCGTGAGATGTAGAAACGCAAAAGAGAAAAGAACGCTGGTGATGGAACTTGCAATGCAATTACCCCATTTTACCCCGCGTTCCTGAGTGGACGGGTTGGCGGATTACGGCGGCGCGCGTGGACCCTGAATTTTCAAGCATTTTTAATATACGAAGGAATCTGAGCATGAGTCAGAATTCCTTATCACTATTCATGACACCAAGGTAACCTAGAACCTCACGGTTCTAGGGATTCGTCTTTTCTCTCCCAGCCACCTTCTGACACATACTTGGGCAATCCATGGGTTGAAGAGGGTGATCAAAGGAGAAGGTCAGAGGAAGAAGATGGGGGGTCAATTGGTGGAAGAAGTTCGTATACATTGCGACCTAGGGGAGGGAACTCACCGGAGAGATTTAAAGAAGATATTAGAAATGGGATGTTGGTGGAAATGATGAGAGCTCTGAAGGAGTTGAAGGCTGCTGACAACCAGAAGAGTGAAGCCCTGACAGAGATAGTGCAAGAACTTCATCGAGGACAGCGGGGAACTAGAGAAGGGTCGGCGACAACTTTGTCAACTCGAGTGCCAAAACCAAAGGACCCTGTCACGCCTGCGGGTAGACTGCGGTAGCAAAGGACTGCCTTGGGAACTGAGGGGTTTAGTCTCTGGCTCGTGGACCTTGGTGACTGCCTTAGGTACTGAGGGTTCGAGAGGTTGGGTTAGAACCAACTGAGTGACTTATTAAACGAGGGGAAGGGAATTGAAAAGATACATTGCTGAAGAAGAAAAGTACGGCACTAGATAGGGTTTAAATACTAAAATCAGCCTTTTCCAAGAGGCTCGTGCAGACCTGCGGAATACAAGCGCTCTGAACCGTCCTGTACTGTCCTGCATGCATTGCCATGCATCCCACCGATTACCACTGATATCCTACGATGCCATATCTGCGTTTACCTACGTTTTACTATGATATCCTACGTGATGCACCGTGAGTCGGTGACTTTGTCAAAGGTGGTCGATGAGGAACTATGAGGAACTTAGAAGAGCTGCGAGAACAAGAGACTCAGAGATTATGCCTTACAAGGCATCAGAACAGAGGAAAGAGAAACTAGAGAAGTTTGGAGCTTATGCCTGTCAGGCATGAGAGCACAGGAAAGATAGTCTTGGGGTTAATGCCTGATAGGCTTGAGAGCAGAGGAAAGATAGACTTGGAGTTTATGCCCAATAGGCTTGAGAGCAGAGGAAGATATGAGAGTGGAGGTTTGAACTTGTGATTATGACAAGTCATTATTTGATAGTGTCATTCATGACAGACCCGGACGAATTTGATGGGTCAAGAGAGAAACTCACTGGGTTCCTGACTCAGTGTTCGTTGGCATTGAGTGTGATGAAGGATAGGTTTGAGAGTGAGGAGCAGAGTGTGTTGTGGATGGTAGGGTTCTTAAGAGGGGTTGCACTGCTGGCGGTGCAGCCTCATCTACTTTCTACTCCTCTTCCTCCTTTCCTCTCAAAACGTTCTGAGTTCGCTGTGTGGATGAAAAAGAACTTCGGTGACCCAGATGAGAGGGGTACGGCTATCCGGGGTTTGCGGGAATTGAAACAGAAGCAAGGGAAGGCATCAGCGTACTTCGCTGAATTCCAAAAGTATATTGCTATATTGGGGTGGAGTGAGGAGGAGATGTTAGTGGCTCAGGTGTCACGGGGTTGTTTCTTCGTTAAATTCCTAGGACCGACGGCCAATAACTTCGTGGGCTTCAACCTTTAACTACCTTGTTGTTCGAAATATGAAATAGTTGACAATAACTTCTGGGTGTAATAACTTCGTACTTTACTAACTTCTATCACTAAGACAACAACCAGAGATTGTCAAAGATCTCTGGGAACTTCAGCCCTTAAGTAATTCGTCCTTCCCCAACTTCTTCAACGCAGAACTTCGTTCAACCCGAAGTCCCGAGCTTCGTACCTTACGAACTTCGTCCCCGACGAAGTTTGTGCCTCCCTAACTTCATACCTCCCTAACTTTGTATCTCCCTAACTTCATACCTCCCTAACTTTGTATCTCCCTAACTTCGTATCTCCCTAACTTCGTATCTCCCTAACTTCCTACATGACTAACTTCGCCCTCGACGAAGTTAGCCTCCTAATACCCTCGTGGGTGATGAAGTCCATGAGAACTGGATCGTTGATGGCGAACTGATGTCCAAAGGAACCTCGTTGATGGGAAAAGATCATGTCACGCGGTGCCGCGTGACAAAAACCTAGGGATTATTAGTCACAACAACCCCGCCTGGCGGAGAACTACAGCGAAGTCAGGAGAAGGAAACCAAGGGAGGCAGAGCAGAGTAGAGGAAGTTAGGCAAAGTCAGTCAAAGTGAGCGGAGTAGGATATTGGGGATATGGCGAGGTACGGCAAAGTTGAGCAAAGAGGACTGAGCGTGAGGCTGTGCAGGAGTTGAGGGACATTCTATGAGAAGAGAGGAGAAGTATAGGTAGTTTACAGATCGCTGAACTTCTTCAGCGATCCTTGATTGTTGTCAGTAGCGAGAGATATATCCAGTAGCTACCACATTCGAGTTAAGGAGAGCTACCACTCAGCAGTTCAACGCACCACAGCGAAGTTAGCCGCAGTTCATCAACAATCACCTTATTGTTTACCACTTGACATATCACTTTGGCGTAGTTAGCCGTAGTTCCCCAACAAGTACCTTGTCTCAGTGAGACATTGACACCCCAAGACGACATAGTTAGCCAAGGTTTGTTGACCGTTGGTCAGGAGAGAAGAAGAAACGACGTTTGTGACACCCCTCCGGAGTGGCACGGGTTGAAGGCACCCCATTGGACCCAGCTGGAGAACCGTGCAGCTCGGGAGGTGTCCGTCTCCGGCTGGGTCCCTAACAATGCCACCGGGAGAAAGGCTGTGACTGTGACTATGACAGTCTCGCAAATTGGGAGACAAGGGGAAGATATGCAAGGAGTAGCGGACTGAAGTGATGAGGAGAGGGCGTGAGAACGGGTGTACCCCTTGGAAGCGATGTACTCTGAACGATAGCGGTGGGGCTCATGATTTCACATAATAGGAAACAACGGAAGGATCATGAACATGATCCGTGCGGCTAAACTTTCTTTCTCCTATCACTGCCCTTTCTTTCTCCTATCACTGCTCTTTCTCTCTCCTATCACTGCCCTTTCATCCCATGGCAGTGCAACCATGCAGAATGAGTCATCATTGTCTTTTCCCATGTCCCCTTTCTTTGCCTGGTCATGTACATATAACCATTGGACTCTTTGTTTTAGCCTGAAAAGACTGTCTTTTTTATAATAGTGTCACACCACACCCCTTGCCTCCTCATCTTCAAGCCAATTAGCCGCTGCAAACTAGCCCACTGAGATATCTCTCTCTCTCACACACACACACACACACACATATAAAACACATATCTGGCTCCTGATGGATGAAACAATTCAGGCTTTAACAGTCTTACCCAAAAATGATATGGAGGGAACATCCGGTTTCCATGATAGTTCTGCTGGGAGGAGTCCTTGCTCAGTGGCCAGCTCAATGCACGTGTCACGAACTACGTCGTGACACCTCGATTACTCCACCAACAATGACCCTCCTTTGGCCATCAAAACCCCATCACGCCTTAACCTCTTTACTCTACACGTAACTCAGGACTTCTGACACCAAGTACGGCGAAGTTAGACGGAGTTAGGCTAAGTAGGGACAATGGGAGCAGAAGTGCGGCGATGTTAGGCGGAGTTAGGCTAAGTAGGGACAATGGGAGCAGAAGTGCGGCGATGTTAGGCGGAGTTAGTCGAAGGAGGAAGAGGATGGCCGAGGGCTCGGGGAAGTTGGACGAAGTGCGTTGAAGTACGTCAAAGCGCGAGAGGGTTGGATGAACGTCTAGGAGGAGTAGATAATATTAGCTGAGAAGATCGCTGAAGTTCTTCAGCGATCCTTGATTGTTGTCAGTAGTGAAAGACAGATAGAGATAGCTATAAATCAAGATACATCGCCATCAGTAGAACAAAACCCTAGTTAGAGTAACTACGCCGAAGTACGCCGTAGTTACACCCCTTTCGACGTCTGCGCCCTCCTGGTTGGGTGAGACATCGACTCAGAGCGTGAAGTTAGCCGAGGTTCGTCGACCGTCGGTCTATTAAGAAATAGTTGTTCGACGGCCGTGACAGCACGCTCATGGTGAGGTAGTGGCAAAGACATCCCCAACACAGTTAGTCAAAGATCAGGTAGAGCCAAGGAACCCAATAGTTTTATGGCCCCCCTCAACTGTTCACGAGTTGTCCCTGTGTAGAACCAGCTTAGAACGTACCTTTGCCCTAGCTCGTACAGAGGTGCAGAAGGCTCTGCCAACGGATCAGGAAGGGGAGACTGAAACACTGAAAAGAAAGTTCGATACAGCCCTTTGTCAAGTATCTGAGCTGCTTGAGAGAGAGCAAGGGTCCATATCAAGGCTAAGTGAGCTTGTAGGGGAAACAGAGATTTGTTCATTGATTATTCAGGTCGGTACCTCATTTATTGGTATTAAGCGGATGATGGCAAAATTTCTGAAAGAGCCAGAGGAAAGCCAGTCGCAAGGGATGGTGACTTGCCGTTCAATTCGTTCCCTGACCAGTGAGCTTGAAGCTGCTGCAAAGTGAGCCATATGCTATCAGTGAGATGACAATGCAGAGGAGAATTGAGCATGCATTGGTATTAACTCTCTCTATACTTATCATATCCTGCTCATACACAGCAAGCCCAAATGCATTAAGTGAAGTTCAGTGATTAATGGGACAGATGAACAGAGTGGACGGAAGGGGTAGTCAATTTGACCGCCGCGGTCCGATTCTCTCTCGCATATCTATCGACTGAGCCGGGAGCTTAGGCAAGGTCATAGTGGAGATGGTGCTGTAAGCTGCTGGGTGCCAGTGACTAAACATCACAATCATCGTTTCTCCTCCCCTCAACTGACCCACAGGTCAATAAACCTCGGCTGACTACGTCATACTATCGGGTTGATGTCTCATAGAGACAGGGTACTTGTCTGGGAACCAGGGCTAGCTTCACCGTAGGAATATGTCAGTGTCTGACAAGTCAAAGATGATTGTCGGCGTACGGGGGCTAACTTTGGCCTTGTAGGTCATAATACTTTGCTTGAGGCTCTCGTTTTATGAATGATGGTAGTGATTATGTCTCTCACTACTGACAACAATGAAGGATTGCTAAAGAACGTTAGCAATCTGTTGCCTATGTATCCGGGAGGGACGGAGGGAGAGAAGAGACAGAGCGGAAGGCAAGGACGGGCAGACAAAAGTCTATGAGAAAGTCTGCCATTGACGTTATAGGAAGTGGAAGGAAGGAGAGGAAGAGGATGATCCAGTCGACGTCATGGGAAGGAGGGGTGAGGAGGAAAGAATGGACATTGACGTCATAGGTGAACGAGGAGAGAAGGGATCGACAGACCACAGGTTATGGGGCGATACAGAGGTGAACGTCATTTCTTTCGAAATACTAGAAGGAGAATCCCAGACCCCACTCTCCTTTCAATATGTAAAAACTCAAGTCAGTCCCTCCTCACCACTTCTCTTAGCCCTCAACAGCTAAATCACCACTGTGATATATCTGCATATCTCATCATCCGACAGATTTTGAGCGGACATGTCTGTTTACCAACCGGCAAAAGACCCCTTCACTGACAAAGGGCAGTCATTGGCGATCACTCTTTCACATGGAACAAAACAACAATCCTCCGAGCACACGGATCAATCTTCAAAGCTTGTGAAGCTCTCAGAAATATTCCTCACCAGATATGATACAAAACTCCGCCCGGGGCCGACCAGGTTCGGGATACCTTCTCATCCGGTAGAAGAGGTGCTCTTTTTTGCGGGCATATTGATCAAGCAAGTTAAACAAACTGTCCGGTCGATTGAGAGCCATGTGCGCTTGTCCTTCCCACCAACTCAAGCTACATATGAGGCAGTGGAAACCCAGCGCGAACGATTTGAGGAGGCGTCTGGGGTCTTGACAAACCAGTTAGCTAAGATGAAGCATGGGCTCAGTGCGTTCCTCGAGCGAATAAATTCTCCTACAACGAGGATCACACAGGCTTGTGCTATACAGGAAGAACAGGCAAATGGCATTGTCTGGGATCTTCGTAGCCTCTTGCTACAGGTTGAGCATGCGGGGGCGCAAGTTGTGCCTGGGTTTGTGCCATCGCTACCTCTGAGGGAACCCCCAGCTGACGCTCCTCCCCCCATGGATTTACAGGCGCTTGTGTATCTGACCAATGTCATAACAAAAGTATCTGGGAGCCCAGTTGATGAGATAGACTCGCTGGATTGATCACGTAGGCCCGAAGGAAGAGAGTGCGCATGCAGTAAATAGACGATAAGTGATAAATTTCTGCACTCAGGACGCACTTCCGGGTTCGGTCTGGGGTTCAGGCCGAATCCGTGCGATGCTAGTGTCCGAAAAGCCAGTGTTTATGAAATGTGCCACCCGCCACATTCACCTTGGCTCGTGCCTGATTTCACCTCCGGCCGAGTACGAAAGTAGTTCGAGTACTTATGGCTCGTCGGCCTTGTTTATCGTATATTTCTTCTTCTCATCTCCAAAACCTTCGCAACAGAAATCGCCTTGACGACATGGCACATCACGCTAACGAGGATGATCGTGGCAGACCAGGTGAGAGTCTTCCTTCACTACCGTCGTCAACGTGGAGGGTGGAGCTGATGGCGAGGCAACTACACCATGATGCAGTTCTTCGAGTACGTGTATCTTCTCCGCGGTCACACGTTGACTCTTGCTCATGACAGATGGTACTGCGAAGGAGATGGTGTTCACTGGAAGAAGTTTGAGAGCGAGACGGACCGACTCGCGTCGATCGGTATCACCGCATGTTGGCTTCCACGTGAGTAGTGACGACCCAACTCCTTACCTGATGATCTAAGTCGTGCTGATCATGAGCTCCAACCAAAGGCTCCAGTCCGTCAGTCATCCACTCTCTGTGAACTCTCGGTGCTGATCAATAGACAAGGTACAGGTTACGACATGTGAGGGGCTTGTTCGTCACGTGATACAACGGCTGACCACCAGCTATGATATTTGGGATCTGGGCGAGTTTGACCAGAAAGGCGCCGTCGAGACGAAATGGGGATCCAAGGAAGATCTACTCAAAGCTATAAAAGTGGCCAAGGACAAGGGGATCATCACGTATATCGATGCTGTGATGAACCACAAGTAAGTGTCTACCTCGGCGTGATGTTTCGAGTGTCAAGAAGAGCTGATGAGCTAGGGCCGGGGCAGATGACAAAGAAGAGTTCTTGGCCACTATGGTGGATCAGAATGATCGGAACAAACTTATTGGAGAAACTCACAACATCGAGGGGTGGACAAAGTTTAATTTTCCAGGCCGAGGGGACAAGTATTCTTCGATGAAATGGGTGAGCTTCTCTCGTTGGCACAATCAAGGCTGACTGAAAGAACTACAATCATTTCACCGGAGTCGACTACGACGCGAAAACAGAGACCAAAGCTATCTACATGATCCAAGGTGACGGTAAAGATTGGGCGAAAGACGTCGACAAGGAGAATGGGTCTTATGATTATCTCATGTTTGTGAGTTTGACCAATAGGCTTTTAGGATGGGGCTTATTTTCAGGCCGATATCGATCATGCCCACCCTGAAGTGGCGGACGAGTTCAAGTGGGTTGTTCCTGTGAATATAGAAGAAAGCATTGATTATATAGAAAATGGGGTGAATGGATTCTCAAAGAGACGGGGGCGTATGGTTTCCGTTTTGATGCTGTCAAACACATATCCGTGAGTGACGAGGATAATAAGTAGTCGCTTCGAAGCTGACACATAGCGGCAATTCATCGAAGACTTTGTCAAACATATCCGATCCGCGGAGGGATCAAGGTCTAAGGCTTTCTGTGTTGGAGAGTTCTGGAAAGGTCAGGCAACCGAAACCTCATCTATAAACAGAGCTGACATACCAAGATTCAGTCGATACCCTCGTAGCGTATGTCTCACCTGGCTGCAATATTCACACAGGCTGATGAGTCAGGTACGTGGAAGGATTAGGTACACAATTTTCGTGCTTTGACTCTTGTCTGCAAGGTGGGTTTCCTCCTTTGGAGATGGCGAAGCTAATGTATAGCCAACTTTAAGGTCGGTCGTCTTGGAAACTGGTATTTGTGCTGATCGTCGTAGGAAGCCGGTGAGGCTCGTGAGAATTACGATATCCGGAAAATCTTTGACAATACGTGAGTTGTCTCTAAGGATTGTAAGGGCAAACTGATACATTTAGGCTCGTGCAGCGTAGGCCTATTGATGCTGTGTGAGTTCACTTTTCCATACCTAGCCCAAGCTGACTCAATCTTAGTACACTGGTGGATAACGTGAGTTCAGCGTCCTCTCATGTACCGGGGCAAAGTATTGACAATAAGCACGACACTCAAGTGGGTCAATCACTCGAACGATGGGTTTCGTCCGCCTTCAAGCCGCTCGCCTATGCTCTCATATTGCTTCGTCCTGACGGCTATCCGTGAGTTCTAAAACTGAAATGAAGCTTGCTGACATGTCAGATGTGTCTTTTATGGTGATCTAAACGGATGTGGTGGTGAGAATCCCCAGAAACCTGTTAAGCAGCTCGACGACATCATCCGTTGTCGCAAGTTGTTCGCTTATGGCGAGAAATTGGATTACTGGGACCACCCAAACTGTGTGGCTTGGGTACGGAAAGGTGACGAAGAACATGATGGTTGCGTCGTGGTCATTTGTAATGGGAAGGAAGACGGGTCGAAGAAGTGCGAGGTGGGTGAGGATCATAAAGGTGAGAAGTGGACCGATGCGTTAGGATGGTACCAAGGAGAGGTGATTGTAGGTGATGGTGAGTTTCACTTCACTTTCTACATAGGCGTACACGTTGAGAGACTCTGTCCTTGAGCTGACACGTATAGATGGGTGGGCCGAATTTCACTGTCCACCGGAGAGCATTTCGATCTGGACCAAGGTTGATGCTAAGGGAAGGGACGAATTTAAGAGTTGATCTACTGTATCATTGCTCTAAACACCATCTGCTATGTGTGCTGTGCCTCGTCTTCCAAAACCCTGTCATTGTGTATGTTGTCTCGTATAGCTATAGCACCAGATACCAGTTGCATTGCTCATTGTCCATGATATTCTTCTACCGTAGCAGCACGAATAGTTGACTTTCGCCACCCGCCACATTCCTTCCTTTCGTCTCTCTTTCCACCCTAACAATACCTCAATCTCTCCCCTTCCATTTCCTCTTCTCCAATGCGCCACTGACATGTCTTTTTCACCACAGAACCTGTACTCTCTCATCATCGCTGTACACGAACCTTCTCCAGACGTCGACGACCCCTCACCTACCTCTGAAGTTCCTCCTCCACTTGGTGAAGACTGGCGACTGGGTGAGATCACCGTAGATTGGGTAGACTTCACTCGTGAGAAAAGTCTCGACAAAGATCAACCTCCTAAATCATCATACAAGATCATGTCCCCCAAACTTCCTAACACAGCTCCCACCCCTCTTCCTCAACAAAATAAAGGATTCAAGAAAGGTCGACCCATTCCTGGTGCTCCATCACCCACTTCCTCTCCTACGTCGGCTCCTGGTAAACCCAAAAAGCCCACAGCGGACGCTTTGTCATTACAACCTCTACTAGGTCATGTACCCGGCCCTAATCCACTCGACTCATCGGTAGCTTCTGGTGTTACGGCAGTAGGTAGAGGTGTGGTTCATCTTTTTCGACATGCCCCTCCTCCAAGTTTGATCGCCAGTATCGACGCTCATCCAGTCGGTGAAGGGAGCAAGTCGCATGATACTAGTCCTTGGGCTGGAGATAAGGCGGAAGGGGAAGATGGGAGTTTGGTCGCTATTTTGGCTGTACCAGCATGGATGAGACCTGCGGACTTTCTGGAATTCATAGGAGGGTGGGGGACGTGTCTAGAAGGAGTGAGAATGATCAGGTGTGTTCCGATACTTCTTCCCTCGTCGCATTTCTCTCCTCGTTCGCAATCATCTCCGTTTTCTTAGAAATCTCTCGCGAGATAGTTGAGAGGTATGAATGTGGTAAGAGAAGATTCGACGTTGACGATTATAGAGAAGCTACAACACCTAATCGTTCCATTGTTCTTCTCAAATTCAGAGATCCTCTTCAAGCTTCAGACTTTATGATAATATTCACAGGTCGAGCATTTTCATCATTAGATTCAAGAGAAACATGTCATCCTATACGTATACATCATTTAGTTCTTCATCGTCTTGAAAATCCTAATTCTTTTCCTATTTCCATCCCAGCATTCCCACCTTCCATTTACGCATCTAGAGCAAGAGAATTACCAGAATTACTTCGAGGTATTCCGGAAAATAACAAATACGAATTACCTTCATGTCCCGTTTGTCTAGAAAGATTAGATTCAACAATCACAGGTCTTGTGACTTTACCTTGTGCTCATACTTTTGATTGTGATTGTTTAAGGAAATGGGGTGATTCACGTTGTCCAGTATGTAGAGTATCACATCTTTTATTATCTTCTGCACAAAGTGGTAAAGGTGAAAGAGAAGAAGAACAAGTTACTAGATTAACACAATGTTCAATGTGTGATTCTAAAGAGAATAATTGGATGTGTGTAGTTTGTGGTGTTGTAGGTTGCGGAAGATATTCACCTGGGAAAGGACATGCTAGAAGACATTGGGAAGAAAGTGGACATGTTTTAGCTATGGAATTGGATACTCAAAGAGTTTGGGATTATAAAGGTGATAAGTGGGTTATGTCTTTCCTTTTTTTCGTAACTCCCTCTCGTCCTAACTATATTCTTCTCTCGTTCTTTCCTCTGCTCACAATCACAAGTCGCTCCATTTCAATCAGCTGGCAGAATTATATTTCAATAAAGCGTGACAGTTGACCAACAGTTATGTTCATCGTTTGATACAAACTCGAACAGATGGAAAACTCGTCGAACTTCCTTCAGCTTCATCACTTGTGACACCTTCAGCTCCTCAGCGACTCATCTCTACTCCCACTTCCCGTCTAAACCGTCCTCACAATGTCAACAAATCGCATAACAACGATTCCCCTGCTATTCCCACCCAAACACCTCGTGTTGTCCCCGAAGCGAAAGATCATTCCCACATGAGAGAAACACCCACCAATGATAATCCATCAAATCGAGAAAGACCCATCAAAGATGATCCGATAGATGGAGAAAAACCTGATAATGAAGATACATCAGAATTGAAAAGAACAAAATCACTTTCTTCAGAAGAAGCAGGTCCTTCATCTGGTGATATCGATAAAATCTCTACTATAGAAGCTATCACTCTCGAATACTCTTACCTCCTCTCATCCCAGCTAGAAGCGATGAGACAACATTATGAAACCTCTCAAGCGGCATTACTTGCTCAAATTGCCGATTTGGAAGGTTTGGCTAGACGAGTCGAAAAAGCCGAAGCAGCAGCGAAAGAAGCCACGAAGAACGCACAGAAAGCAGAAACGAAAGCTGAGAAAGCAGCACAGTTAGCGAGAACGTTACAAACTTCTCTCTCGGCTGAAAGGGCTATGAGTGAAGGGTTGAGTAAAAAAGTCAAAGTTTTGTCAGAGGATAAGGAGAGATTGATATCGGATAAGAAAAACAAGGAAGAGGAAATCAAAGGGTTGGAAGAGACAGTGAAGGATTTGATGTATAATTTCGAAGCTGGTGCAAAGATACAAGCTCTAGGAGATGAGGGAGGAAAAGGTGGGGATATTGTTGTAGGTAAAAAAGGTAAGAGATGATAAAGTGATAAACTGATCATGTGTCATTCATTCTGTAATATGTGATACAACATTGCAATTATGTAGCTAGTACCTTTCAAGATAAACCCAATGATCATTGTCCCTCACCATACAGATCGACTTAAAACAAGAGTTATTATCGGACGGCTAGAGGTGCCCGGGATGTTGTTTGAACACGTTTCTTTCCACCTGCTTGTTCTTGCGTACCGGCATTTTCCTTGTCTTCCGCGTGATAGAGCGCATTGGCCGATCGTCTTTCCGTTCGCTAAACGTATCAGCTTCTTGTCGTTCCCTCTCACGTGGCTTGATGACATGTGCCGCTTATAAGGCATTGCACTGACAAGCAAGCTTCCGACGGCAAAAAGAAAGATCAGAAAAAGAAACGTCGAACTCACCTCAACGATACTAGTCCCATCTCTGAACCTAGCCCTAAAGAGGACATTGGCATTGGTAAAGAGACCTTCCTTCAACGAAACAACGATGAACTGACTGCCCTTGAACCGATTTCGGAACAATTGACCAATATGTTGAGTATGTTGTAAATCCAAAGCTGCGTCGATTTCGTCTAAGATATACATGGGAGCAGGTTTGAATTGTAACAGGGACATGATTAGTGAGAGAGCTATAAGAGACCTGCATATTTAGCTATATCCACCTTTCACTTGTCTTTGTGTCAAATCCTTAACATTTGAATGCTGACAACAGAACACAGAGAAAGATGGGATGGATGGAGGAAGGATACAAGAAGAATGGGACTGACCGTTGTCCACCGGAAAGTTCAGTGAGAGACGCTTTCCATACACTCCCTAATCGGACTTTGACCTCTAAACCTTGAGTGAGATCTTGACCTTCTGGAGGTTGGAGTTTCGCAAAGTTTCCAGGAAGTAATTCGGCGAAGATTAATCCAAAGTCGCTATTTCATCAGTTCTGATACCACACATCGTTTAGGCTGCGATATTCTCTGATCATTTACGAGCGAGGGATAGCGGTATGGGTGGGTGGGTGTGGTCAATGTAAGTATGATGATGTAAAGGTGAGCTATGAGAGTGTACGAGTCAGGGTGTATGATGGGTTGAGGGGATGAAGGTGATTAAGTAAGAACACCTCACCCGTTCACCTTCTCCCACGTCTTCATCAAAGCGTCTCGCTTATATCGATCCAATTCTTCAATCGTATCCTCAATCATGCTTTTATCCTTCAAAACAGTCTGCATCATCTTCTTCAGTGCTTGTTCCTTCTTCTCCACACTATTCCGTCAGCTCCTCAGCCAAGCATGTCAGTGGGATAGCTCACTTGTCGATCATATTCATCACTTTCGTATTGATCTTCCTACCCATTCCTTTTTGTTGAGTCTCGAGTTCACGACATTGATCACGGGCTTGAGATAGGTTGACACCTTGGAAATCGTATGGAGTTCCTGGCTTGCCGAAGAACCTGATCGGTCAATTTCTCTTTCGTCTATCCACTTCACACCGCGTTAAAGCTACAATCTCGCTGGATGACGATCTTCGACTGGGAGCAGGCTTTCATCCTCAAAGATGGTGGTGGAGTGAAGTGAACATCTGACTTACTGATGTTCATCAACGATCCAAGGAAATTGTTTCTCTAAATTCTCACGATGCCCTTCCGCTGTAGTTTTTTCCTTCTGCACCAAACCGATATCATGGTCCAACTTCTTCAAAGCGAGCTCTGCATCGGCAATTTCCTGTTTCTTCGCTTTTAGATCTTTTTCCAGATCAGCAAGTTCGGTATCAAACGCGACGAGTTGAGCTCTTTCAGCCTTTAATTTAGCTTCGGCAGCTTTGTGATCGGCCTGTATGCGTGGTCAGCTGTAGGTGCCCGAGGAGTGTTTGGAGAGCTGACCTGTTGGAGTTTAAGGGTTTCTTGTAAAGCACCCCGCTCTTTCTTGGTCTTTTCAAGAGCAGCAATGGCTTCTTCAACTTCATGCTTGGCGGCTTCCAGATCACTCTCCATTTGTTCTGACAGATTAGTCACACACTTTTCTCGATTGTGCATACATACGAAATTCCAATTCGGCGGTTTGCACTTCTTTTTGCCTAGATTTGACTTGTGTTGTCTGCTTACCGAGCTCTTTCTTCTTAGCAGCAATGTCCGCCTAGATTGTGAGCTCCTTTTCACTTCCAGTGGGTTTTTCGGAGCTCACCTTGATTTCGTTCAATTTCGAATCCTTGTTATTCTTGAAATCCGCCATCTCTCTCTCGAGTCTTTTGCATTCGGCGCTAGCTTCCTTCTGCTTTTCTTTGGCTTGACTGATGACTTCCTTGAGTTCCCCTAGCAGTTTTTTCGCAGCTTCAACTTCGGCAATGATCTGTCATGTCAGTCAGGCAACTCCCTACAAGTTAGAGCTCTGACCTTTGTTGCATTACTACCGTTGACTTGCTCCTCCAGCAACCCAACCTCATGCTGCTTTAAATCAAGCTCACGCTTATCTTTCTTAAACTGATCGATTACTTTCTTCGCTCCTTGCAGATCTTTCGATATACTCTCCAGTGCTTGTTTGTGCTCTAGTATACCCCGTTCAATCTGTTTGAGTTCTTGTACTTTGACTAGAATACCACTGGAGTTGGGTGCGGCACCGCCGGACAAAGTTCCAGAGGGATCATACACGTCTCCCTCTAAAGTCACTGATTTGACCCCTATGGCTTTGTTGAATGTCACAGCTTGAGCGGCTTCCTTATTTGCGCAGATAAAGGTATCGCCGAAAACGTACGCCATAGCCGCGGACACGTCATCTGAGTAGCCCACGAGGTCAAGGGCAAGGTTTGCTTTGCCGGGAGCCACCTGTTTAGCGGCCGTCAATTTCTGACTTGATCAGTTCAGCCCGTGGAAGACAAATGGAATCAGACGCACCTCCGCCGACATCTTGAATGCGTTAATCTTATTTAAAGGAATGATGGTGACTCGTTTCCGTAATTTACCCTTCTCCAACAATTGCGAACCCACTCGTTCATCTTCCACCACGACGTTGTATAACTTGCCGCCAGCACAGATCTCCAGTGCAGTGGATGACTGGAAGTTTGTTTCATCGAGGTCGATCAGCGTCGCAACGAGACCTTTGACCTTTGATCTATCGAAATGCGGCTCAGGGTCAGAGTAAGCGAAATCGATGGCGGCTAGACGTGATTTGAGAGCATCACGTTTCTGTTCGTCAGTGGTAGCACTATAATCGTCACTCTGTTACTCACTTCCATCAGTTCGGCCATTTCTGAGCTGTGCTCAGCCTGCTTCTCCAACATTTCCCGCTCTTTGTTATCATCCCAGCCGGCGGCTTCCACTCTTTTCTTCAGCTTCTCAATATCCGCCCGTTTACTGGCTAATTCCTTCAAAGCTCCCTCTCCCTCTTTCTCCGCCTTCTTTGCTCGCGGTTCCTTCTCCTTGATCTCCTTTTCAGCAGCACCAATCCGGACTTTGGCCTGTTCAGCCTCGGTTCCAGCTTGTGCCAATCGGGCTTTGGCCTCCGCCAACTGTCCCATGTACCCTCCGGCATTCTCGTCGTCGACATTGGATGACGACAGACCTGTCAACAGAGTCTGCAGCAATTCTTCTTTCTTCGCCAACTCGGCTACACCAGTGTCATAGGCGGCTTTAAGCTCGGCGAATGCTGCGGCATCTTTCGAAGTGGAGCCACGTTTCTCCTCGATCGACTTTTCCAGCTACGCATCAATTGAACATTTCTCGTGAGACATCATCTGAGCAGCTTACGTCTTTGACAGCTTTCTTGGCAGTATCCACGCGTTTTGAGTCATCACCCATGGTGCTTACTATCATCTCGAGCTGTGTCTTGACCTTGACGAGCTCGCGTTCTAGAGCATTCACAGCATCTGTCAGGGATTGAATCTTACCACCTTTGGCCATTTCCTTATTGTATCAGCTGCGATGCAAGTGGAATGATGAACACTCACCTTCTCTCGTCTTTTTTGGATCTCCGCCAATTCCTTTTCCATGCCTTGACACTCTCTACCTCCCCTCGAGACATCCTCTTTGGCCGTTTCGATCTCATTCTTTTTCTTCTGCAAACCGTCGGCAGCCTTTTCTGCCTTTTCCACGGCCAGCATCCACTCGTAGGCCTTGACTAATCTCGTGAGTCTCTCAAGTTCGCTGGTGGCTTTCTGATATTCGAGGTAACTCCGTTTCTCCGCTCTCAGCTTCTCAAGCTTGGGGTCGATCTCTTCTTTGAGTAGCTGCAAGTTAGCTAGTAATCTGACGTGTTTTGTGTGGCCTGATACGGCTGTTTGTACTACATTAAACGATAAATTCCTGCCATGGAGTTCGATTTGACCAGCTATCAGGTTAGTATAAGAGAGATAACATACCGTTTCAAGCTCCTCCACTTTCTTATCCTTCTTCGCCATAGTCTTCACAGCCTTATCCTTTCTCTCCTCAAACATTCTCGTACCGGCTGCCTCTTCTACCATCCCCAAAATTTCCGCCGGCTTCATATTGAGCACTTTTGTAATCTTCCCCTGCATGATTAAGAAGTTTGGGTTGTTTATATTCAGCTGGACGCTTTGGAAGAGGTTCTGAAGAGCCTGGAGAGTCGATTTGTGTCCGTTCAGAAGATACTTTGAGACGTTACCCACGGCGATCTAAATTTGTCAGCCTCACAGACCCAACATCTTCAGTCATACAGGAGTTCAAGTCCTGCACATCGAAGTTTTCCCAAGATAGACAGTAGAGTGATCAAGTCAATAGACGAGGAAGCAGGATACGAAGGAAGATCACCAACCTGTCGAGTCACAGTGATCTGCGGTGTGTTCTCATACCCTGTAGGAGAAGTAGCCCTATCTTTATTATTGAAAACAATTGTCACGCTAGCTTTTGTCACTCCTGCTTGACCTCTAATCCCATTAGTATTTATACAATCTTGAAAGATAGACATGCCGTTTGTATATCAAATCCATGAGATTGTTCGCTCTCACCTATTCATCAGCGCTTACAAAAGAGGACGAAGGAATGCTGACAGATTGCATGTTGGTGATTCCCAATACGAAACATATCGCATCGAGGATATTCGATTTACCTGATCCATTGAGACCGGTGATAGCGTTGAAAGACTCGTCGAAGCCTACATGTCAGCGGAGAGAAGGGGGTGGATCTTGCAGAAGTAGCTGCTGACCTGAGATGGTGGTCCGGACAGGGTAGGATTTGAAGCCTGCGATTGAGTCAGCTCATGCTCCTTCAACGGTACTTGGGATGACTGACCGTCCAGAATGAGCTCTTCGATCCTCATTTTGGCTGACGGCCCACTCGAGAGTTGCCTAGGGGGTGCGATGAAAAGACAGGCAAAAATAGAGCCAAAAACCAAGGTGGGTGCTGACGTTGAAGAGCAGGCGCGTGATGTTGACGCGGGGCAGTAAATTGTTACGTAATCACACTCTTGCATACAAAGCTACGAGTAGAGTACAGTACAAACAGGCTAAGCCAAGTAATGCAACACATTTCTATCATCATCGTCTCTCTTCAAAAACTGTCATATCAACACAAGGTCTTTCTAGAGCATAGGGAAAGCTGTATCACTCACCTCGCGCTCTATCAAACTCTCCACACGCTTCTTCAGCTCCTTGATGTCTGGAGGGAAACGTTTATTGACATCTGTCACTACCGCGTCAATGAGTAATTGCAAGGTCATCTTCTTCCGAGCTTTCATTATTCGCACAATCGTAGCTTCCAGCACTGACACTCGGTCCACGATGACTTGTTCGTTCGTCTTTTTCGTCTCTTCGGCCTGTACCATGAGCATGAGTTCCGAAAGTAGCAGCCTGCCTGGGATACTGCTGAAGGACTCACCGACATGTCCTGTTGGATCTGATTGATTTTGAACTTGATCCTATCGTTGGTGAACGATTTGTTCCAAACGAACGCATCTTGGGGATTCACATCCTTTCCCGTTGGCTTTTTCAACAACACTCTTGTCCCTTTTCTACCTAAAGAAAGGGATTGAAGTGTCCTGGCCAGCTCTTTTGTCTCGATACCGGTCCGTTCATGAAGTTCCTTGAAGCTGAGACTATCGTCTTCATTGAATTGAAGCAAGACGACTGCTTGAAAGAGGGAGAGAGTGATCTCATATCGTCCACTATCGAATCGAGCGGTCATGGTGACTGTCGCAAGCTGATATCGCCAAGACAACTGGCGATTCTGATGTTGGGTGGAGTACCACTGGGTGAAGGCGTCGATCGACCTTTGAAGTCCGGGTGTGAGTTGAAAGCTCCATCCGTCTTTGAGAAGAGGATATCTGTGTATGTCAGCTCAAATATCTTCGTTGAGTCGTCCATGTGAACTGGACTCGTGGCACAGATGTCCATCCAGATAGGGAAGAAAGATGTTCACTTACGCAGGCCAGGCGGACTCAGTAAGGACATTGGCAGTGAAGTCGCCCGAGCCCTGGAAATGCTCCGGGTTCTTTGCCTGAGCTGATTGATATGATTTGACAAGACTGCGAGCGTCAGAGTGGCCTCAGCATGAAGAGGTCAGACTTACGACTCTGATAACTGCAGGTCCTTCATCATCACATCTCCACTGGTGAACTCCTCTCCCATTTCTTTTTGCAGTCGTAAGATCATGTCTCTTTCCATATCATCGCTGGCGCTCTTGTTGAGCAAGAGCCGCTTTGCCAATTGCGTCGAGTAGAAAGCCTTGAACACATCTTTGTCCGGTGTGTAACTAACGAGAGCGATGATCTCATCCAACAACGCTGAGAACTCGGCCTCCGTGCTCGATCCTTGACCACGACGCATGACAGCATCCAAGTGTTTGGCGATCCACTCGGCTGGTGCATTTTGTCGAGAGCTAATTCCCGTTTTGAGACCTTGAAGGACGGCGTCTTCCAGCTCGATTCGTTGGCGATGCTGAACAAGGAAAGCATCGCGTTCGTCAGGCGAAGATAGCTGCGAGCCAGTGGATGCTGGAAAAAGACTAGTAACGGCTTTGTCGGCGAAGCGTTTCAACACGAGTGTGCTTTCGATCATATGTGAGTCATTGGCAGGATCAGATATTAAGGTTTTCAAACGTATCTAGACTGTAAGCTTCGGTGTAGTATTACTACTATTGACTAGAACTCACGCTGATATGTTGCCTGAGAGCTTGGACAAAGTCGGAGAACACAGCGATGTCGTTGCTAAATTGGAAAAGCTTCGCCAATGCCTTGGAGTCCGATTGATTCATCGCTTCGTCCAGAGCTTATGTTCAGTACGAGAGGGTTTATGACTCTGATGAGCTTACCTGGGCGGACGATTCGATCACTGCTCTTCGCCCCTGCTTCATCGCGAACGACAGCGACGATTAGTGAAGCGACATCTGCATTGAAGCAAGTCGTCGCTCTCTCCCGCTCTTCTTCCACCCTTTCCAGGACCCACGCGACATAGTCTGTAGCAGATACGACCCCGTCGGCCACTTTGGACAGTTGATCGGCGGCTTTGTCCACGTAATACTGTTTCGTTGCGTCTTGATACGGGTCTGAGAGGGTTGAGAATACCGAGAGCAGATTGGTCAGACCTGTAAGAGCGATGACACTTGATCGCAAAGCCTCATTAGGTCTAGAAAGTGAGCCGGATCGCGTTGAGCAGAAAAGGACTGACCCTCCAGTCTCACGTTCCTCCGCAGCCCAAGTCAACATGTCATCTCGTGTCTTCCGATGGAGCAGTTCGTCGTCCCAGACAATCTCCCGGAACACCTGTAAGGCGATGTTTCTGAAGGATAAGCCTCCAATATGACGGAGATTGTGGAAACGTACCTGATAGACTGCACTGCATTTGATTCAATCGCATAAACTCTATCCAGATAGACAAAGATTGCACTCAACAACCCTACCCTTGAATCCCACGTCTTCCAACCGGAAATCATACGATCGAGCCAGCCGGGTTCTTTACTCATGATTGATCGATGCCAGCTACGTGCCAGTCCCATAATATTTCTCTTCAGCTCGTCTTCGATCTTGGCGTAGATGGTCGGACCCAGCATGTGAGGAGGTAGGACGAGGCGATGGCATGTGGAACAGAGATAGTGAAAGGATTGTGGGGTTGACAAGCCGGAAAGTATAGCAGGAATGGCATTGAAAAGATCCGCTAGCTGATCTGATACCGGAGCCTCTTTGGCTTGGGAGTCTTTGCAGTGTCAGCTGAAAGCTGATATCGAGAAGGAAGAAGAGACGCACTAGGTAGGATAAGGGTGACGACTTTAACATGCTCCCTGTCAATACCTAATTGCCGTGCTTTTCCTCGAGAAGGGGTGATCACATCCTGATAAGCGTGAACGCTTGGTTTGTACTGAGAGAAAGGGGCTCCTGTAGATGACATAGATGTGGCGGTGATGGATGTCATCTTGGAGAGGAAAAGCTGTAGAATTGACGAATTGGACGAGGAGGGAGCGGGGAGACGACGGGTGGAGGTGGAAAGATGTTTACGTAATGTAAAGGTCCACCCCAGCGATCCGTCTGCCGGAGCCCAACATTTCCCTCCCCCCCCCCCACACCCCCCTTTTTCCCTG